CACTCCCGATCCCGCAGAGTCGGCCCAGTTGCTTAACTTGCTAACTGAGGTCGGCCTGGTAGGGTCGAAGTTGGCAGTGAGCCATGGATCGGAGCAGATCTTAGCCCGGCAACTGACAGACAGGTTGGGAATTGATCTGAAGCCATGGCGCGTAACCTTTGTGACTGGGCAGGTCCGTGAGGCAGTTCAAATGTCGGATCTGGACGAACGTGTTGCGGGCACATCGTCGACGAGGTCGATACACAGAACATGCTGGACGCAAAGGCCGTGCTTGAGCAGGAGAAGAAGAAGACCCTTGAGCCTACGCCAAGCCAGTTGGTGATTCCCCCAGTGCCGAAGAGGGGCACTTTGGGTAGGACAGTCAGATTGAAGAGTGGTCGCATAGCTGCAGAGGACGAGGTCACTGACAAGAACCCGACGAGGGCCAAGGAAGCATTGTTGGGGAAGTATCGCATTTCCACGGTGAGGCGGTACAGGGCATCGTGGCAACGGTTCAGGGAATGGGCGGATGACATGGGAAAGCCTGGACAACGGCCGAACAGTGTGACATTGGTGGACTACATGTATGCAAGAGAGGAAGAGGGTATGGGGCCTTCGATTCCTCTCGCAGTGAGTGCAGCTGTGTCCTGGTTCGAACGCACTTCAGGAACGCCGGAGGAGGAACAGATTATGTGCAGATGGTCATGAAGGAGTTGACACGGAAGCTGGAGCAGAAGGCACCGCCAGTGAAGCGGGCGCCCCGCTGGCTGGGTTGCTTTGTGGCGCCGATGGAAACATTGGTCGTGGACACCAAGGTGCCCCTCGAGATCAGGATCTGCGCATGGTTCAAGTTGATTAAGCTATGGGCCTCAATGAGGTTTGACGATGCAGCACACCTGAAGACGTCGGAGATTCGCTTCTATGACGGCCAGTTGACAGGGATGATGCATCAGTCGAAAACAACACGGGCAGGCAAGCGCGTCAGGGAACTCCCCATCTACATCGCCAAGGAGGCCTATGTGCTGCAGGAGGACTGGTTGTCGATTGGCTTCGATTTGGTGAAGCTGCAGATGCCGAGAGATAGGACCTTCGTCTTCCCGGAGGGATGTTTTTATGGGACTGTCTACGGCACCAGCCATGTGACCTATGCAGAAGCTGTAGTGGATTGGGCTCACCACGGATTACAAGACGTACTCCATGGGCCTTTCAGAGAGGAGGACGGCATGGGTCGTATCCTGGGTGAACTCACTTCGGGAGAGAAAGGAGGTCTCATATCGGGAATTTGCAGCTGGACTTGGAAGGCTAGGGTTCGCTGCCTTGGCCTTGCCCTGAGAGCGACCTTTCCTTGGCCCGCTCTACGCATGGGCCTCAGCCATCCAGGCGAACAAGGGCACAACGACGATACCCTGGTCAGTCCTCTTCATACTGGGGTGGATTGCACGGCGGCTGGAGACGGGTGGCCGAATGGAGATGGTCAAGAGGCATAGCAATGGCCAGAACAACGCACAGATGCCAAGGCGACAGATGATGCAGCTTGGATTGGAGGTTGGCTGCAGGAGAGTGACAATAGCAAAGAGTGCCGATGGTTCTCACTACGGGTCACGGAGAGGCTGGCGCCCTGGCTTCTCTACCGTGGGAAGAACCCGAAGAGAGTGATAGCTGCATTGGAGTTGCTTGCAACCTTGATCGCGTTGAGACTTTGGCTGACGAGGGCAGGAGACTCTGCGGAGGTGCATGCAGAGGCCTTCACGGACAACAAGGGCAACGCGTTCATCTTGCGCAAAGGCCTATCCACCAAATACCCAGTGACGCTACTGGTCATTGAGGTGGCAGAAACTCTCAGGAGGCTGGATACATTTGCTACCCTCACCTGGGTGAGGCGGGATGGAAATGTCTTGGCAGATGCCTTGACGAATGAAGACTTCGGTGCATTTGATCCCAGGTACCGAGAGGCCATTGATGACAAGAATCTGCAATGGTACGTCTTGGATGACCTGCTCCAAGGTAGTGAGGAGCTTTTCAACGAGATAAAGGTGCACAAGCAGAAGAAGAGAGAGACCAACAAGACTTTGGGCCGAGCAAAGAAGAAGGCCGCGAAGTTTTTCAGCCGGTGGAAATCCTGACTGATGTCGGGGTAGCCTGTGTTGGGACGCTCCCAACACAGCCGGCAGGAGAGCGTTCCACCTGCTGATAAAAAGAGTGTTTGTCCGCTGCGGTTTTTTCAGCGTTTTGGTTGAACAAGCTTTCGTGTAGAATTCACTCATGACTTGTCATGACAGAATTTTACACCCCTGCTTGTAGGCTCAAGGGTAGGTGAGCTCAAGTTTCCCTACCCCCCCCTCCCTTGACCTCACCTGTCAGGTGGGACGCATCTCACTCCAGGCGGGGACCGCGACGCTCGCGGGGTAGTGTTGGGACGCTCCCAACACAGCCGGCAGGAGATCATTCCACCTGCTGATAAAAAGAGTGTTTGTCCGCTGCGGTTTTTTCAGCGTTTTGGTTGAACAAGCTTTCGTGTAGAATCGATTGTTGCAACGAGAGAAAACACATTTGATGTTTTGGACCACTGCACGGCTTGGACTCAGGTGGCTTCTTGATGTTCGCAGGCCGCGGCGGTGAGCTGCTGGACGGCGATGGGGAGCAGCCTGGCTGAGCAACAGAAAACAGCACTGCCCACGATAGAACACTTTCTTGTGGTAGGTAGGGCATTGTAGCCAAGACAAGCTTAGTAGCATCGGGTAGTTGAGAAGGAGGGTGCCACTGATGCTCTCCAACTGCTCCTTGCTTCCTTCCGAGGAGGATCCCAACAAGAAGGCGGCCCAACCTTTGAGAACGTGGAAGATGTTCTCATTCTCGACAATTCGCTGAGCCCTCGGAGGTTTGCAGCAAACGGTGGAGACCGTCCTCGTTGTTTTCCATGGTTTTTCCCATTTCCCATGCCAACATTAATTGACTCGGCTGTGATCATCTTCCATGATTTCCTGAAGAGTTCAACACGACTTTCACACCTGACTCAATGAGGAGTTCTCGAGACCAGACCCAGCTGTTGCATGCTGCTACATTCCTTTGGGAAGATTGGCGAGCTGCTTCTACAGGTAATTAAGCTGTCCACTCATTTGCATATTGCGCAACATCCAGATCTTGAGGTGCAAAAAGGAGTTTTTGCACAGACAAGTCAGCTGTCAGAATTGCTAGACTGTTAGGGGATGTTAGAAGTAGTTGATGCATCATAGTGCAACAAGCATGACATAACTCATCACTCCGTAATTATCCACCCAAAGAACGACAATCAAGCTTCTCCAGTGTGGTGGAAAGATGCGCACAATGTCCGTCAAGGTCCTTCGTGATGCTGAGTGATGTCTCAAACCATGTCCTCAATGTGCACCCTGGAACGACGTTATGGCCAGTGGCTTCTCAGCCCAATGGGTGGGTCCTGTAGAGTCTCAGGCTCTCAGACTGTTTTAGAGCACATTGCGAATCCGAGACTGAAAACACCAAGCTGGCAATATAGATAGCTTACAGAGGCTTACAGCACACCAGTCTTTTTTTCCCTCCATTGTTCGGCTGAGGTTTATCAGCTAGCAGGAAGCACATATAAGACTAAGGACTAAGGAGGTGGGTTTAAGGTGTGAGGGTACTTGCCAAATAGTCAATCCCACTACAAATAATCCCCGGGTTGAATAGTGCGGACAACGCTGGTGGCGGTTGAAACAGAACACCTGCTGTATTTATATTATGTATAGACAGAATTTGGGGGTCATTGGCTGCTCTATACCAGCAAGGGCTGCAAAGAAGCATGACCTAATTCATCAAGTCGCTAGCCAGCGGCACATGCAGATGGCCAAATGCAGCGAGGGCATGAAAATAGAAAGGCGGAGTTTTGGAAGCTTCTGACTCTGGTGGCGGTGTGCTTCTAGGGTTAAGTGGAGGACCTCTTGATTCTTTGCTAATTATATGCTAATTATAGCCAAAGGCCCATGGATTTGGCCTAGAATGCCCGACATAGAATTGGCTGCTTGGAATGACCTGGGTAAGTAAGAGTGCTCGGAAATCACCTTGTAGATCCTTGTATATAGATGTTGTGAATTTTGTATTGTCGTGAATGCTGATACTGACAGCAGCTGGAATCAGGGAAGGTGTTCGAGCTTCTTGGATAGCATTGCAATTCCTTGGGTTGTACCTGCAGAAGGTGTTCATCACCCACTATCCTTAGCAATACTTGATTCAACCCTACAGCCTGCTTACTCACTGCTGCTTGCCACAACTGCCAATGTCCTGCTCATTGTGTGTCCTCTGATGAAGCCCAGGCTGTTTCATGATGGTGCATGTAATACTCAAAGTCACTCTGCACCCCTGGGACTTGGTGGTGTGTTTAAGGGGTGGCAACTGTGGTTGTTTCAGCACACGATTGAAAGACCGCCAAGACTTGAGTCACCAGAGAGTAGCAGCAGTTTGCTGTGCGCATGTTGGACATTGCAATAGAGCTTGAATTGGAAGGCATTGCTTTACGGCAACGCCAGCTACTACACATCAGAGACATTGACGACACCAGAGGCAACAGCACCTTTTGTCTTGCCCACACATGCCGATGACAGTAGGAGCAGCACTCGGACAAGCAACTTCACTTTGGTGTGTTGCTTTACACCTGCATTGTGCCCCAACGTGTTTCGGGCACAATTTACGACGCATGATGATTCAGGAGTACGCAACTTCTACTGCACTACGCATGGCGTAGGAATTTGGCCAAAACGCATTGTCGCCTCATCAAGATGGGTCATCAATTGGCCTGAAGCTCGGCCATTGACACACGGTGACACGGTGCAGCATTGCTAAAAGGACTTGTTATTTGCTATTGGTTTTGCATACCCATTTGTGCACTTTGTTGGGCGCTTGCTGCACTTCAAAATTGTAGAGCAAGGAGGCACCCAGAGACATGGCTTACGTTACTGCCATCATATCATGCTTGCAACCAATTATGGAGGTTTCCAAACTGATTTGGTTAGGACATGTGACTGAGGCAACAGTATCAGATGTACATGTTTGATGTGTTCTGCGTGGTTAATTTGATTGTCAAAGGAAGTTTAGTGTGCAAAACTTCCGTGTTACGGACATTCAACAGCTGTTCAACCACCACTCATCATACACCACTCATCATACACCACTCATCAAACCACCACTCATCATACACCACTCATCAAACCACCACTCATCATACACCACTCATCATACACCACTCATCAGATTTCGTGGCAGGCGCAGCACTTTGTGAACCTCCAGGTGCAGATTTCGTGGCAGGTGCAATACAAAATGCGTTTTCGAGAGATAGCGGACGCGAAATGCTGTATTGTTCAATTGAACCGGTGGCTTCGAACCTGGCAAGTCTAGCTCTGCGGAACGACGGTTGCGAGACGGTCTCGGGTCATGGTCGGTCGGCCGTCCATTGTGATTAGGTTTTCACTTGTCTCTTGAAGTGCAGATTTCGTGGCAGGCGCAGCACTTTGTGAACCTCCATGTGCAGATTTCGTGGCAGGCGCAGCACTTTGTGAACCTCCATGTGCAGATGTCGTGGCAGGTGCAGCACTTTGTGAACCTGCAGGTGCAGATTTCGTGGCAGGCACAGAACTTTGTGAACCTCCAGGTGCAAATTTCATGTCAGGCACAGCACTTTGTGAACCTCCATGTGCAGATTTCGTGGCAGGCACAGCACTTTGTGAACCTCCATGTGCAGATTTCGTGGCAGGTGCAGCACTTTGTGAACCTCCAGGTGCAGATTTCGTGGTGGCAGGTGCAATACAAAATGCGTTTTCGAGAGATAGCGGACGCACGAAATGCTGTATTTTTCAATAGAACCGGTGGCTTTGAACCTGGCAAGTCTAGCTCTGCGGAACGACGGTTGCGAGACGGTCTCGGGTCATGGTCGGTCGGCCGTCCATTGTGATTAGGTTTTCACTTGTCTCTTGAAGTGCAGATTTCGTGGCAGGCGCTGCACTTTGTGAACCTCCATGTGCAGATTTCGTGGTAGGCACGGCGCTTTGTGAACCTCCATGTGCAGATGTCGTGGCAGGCGCAGCACTTTGTGAACCTCCAGGTGCAGATTTCGTGGCAGGCACAGCACTTTGTGAACCTCCAGGTGCAGATTTCATGTCAGGCACAGCACTTTGTGAACCTCCATGCGCAGATTTCGTGGCAGGCACAGCACTTTGTGAACCTCCATGTGCAGATTTCGTGGCAGGCGCAGCACTTTGTGAACCTCCAGGTGCAGATTTCGTGGCAGGCATAGCACTTTGTGAACCTCCATGTGCAGATTTCGTGGCAGGCACAGCACTTTGTGAGCCTCCGTGTGCAGATTTCGTGGCAGGTGCAGCACTTTGTGACCTCCATGTATAGAGTTCGTGGCAGGCGCAGCACTTTGTGAACGTCAATGTGGAGATTTCGTGGCAGGCACAGCACTTTGTGAACCTCCATGTGCAGATTTCGTGGCAGGGGCAGCACTTTGTGAACCTCCATGTGCAGATTTCGTGGCAGGCGCAGCACTTTGTGAACCTCCATGTGCAGATTTCGTGGCAGGCACAGCACTTTGTGAACCTCCATGCGCAGATTTCGTGGCAGGTGCAGCACTTTGTGAACCTCCATGCGCAGATTTCGTGGCAGGCACTTTGTGAACCTCCATGTGCAGATTTCGTGGCAGGCACAGCACTTTGTGAACCTCCATGCGCAGATTTCGTGGCAGGCACAGCACTTTGTGAACCTCCATGTGCAGGTTTCGTGGCAGGCGCAGCACTTTGTGAACCTCCAGGTGCAGATTTCGTGGCAGGCACAGCACTTTGTGAACCTCCATGTGCAGATTTCGTGGCAGGCACAGCACTTTGTGAGCCTCCATGTGCAGATTTCGTGGCAGGTGCAGCACTTTGTGAACCTCCATGTATAGAGTTCGTGGCAGGCGCAGCCCTTTGTGAACGTCAATGTGGAGATTTCGTGGCAGGCACAGCACTTTGTGAACCTCCATGTGCAGATTTCGTGGCAGGCGCAGCACTTTGTGAACCTCCATGTGCAGATGTCGTGGCAGGCACAGCACTTTGTGAGCCTCCATGTGCAGATTTCGTGGCAGGCACAGCACTTTGTG